TATATATAAAATTTTCTAGTTTTTTTTTTTGTCAGTGTGAATTTAAATTTGGCTTTCAAAAGTGAGTTTGCTATCTGTAAATAAAATAGCATGGAAGCTTACTTAGAAATATATAGGGATCCTAGTCTATTGTTAAAGTCAGTTGCAATAGGCTAGAAAAGAGGAACAGTCATGAAGAATAGTGTGCTTGGCAAAGTTATGTCTGAGTTTTCATGGTAACCAGAAAAGGAAAAATGATAGAAGACTAAGAATTAAAAGAAAAAAATTCACATTTTAAATACCAACAACGAGCATTTTTTGTTTTGGTTTTATATGTTATAATTGATGACTTAAAAATCTAATTAAGGGAAGAAGCTGATTGTCATGACTTGGTATAAAGACGGCACAGTTACTAACCTTCAGTGTAGTGACATTCACTAAACTTTGAATTTGAGACTTCACTTGAAAGTTATGACGCACCTAATAAATATTTCTGTTAATTGATGCAGACACTTTAAAGTATAAATTTTTTATTACCCTAGATCATTTTTTAGAGTGGCTTTTCATTCTGTTCCCATTTGATAGAGCAACTTCTGACCTAAAATCCTTTGAAATCACAATCTTCACCGTGCGCATGCATTTTAATATCCAGAGACTAATTGTGAGGTCATAAGGGGTAGTCAAGCAGAAGTTGAAGGCACTGAGTGGAAAGTACTTTGATTTATTGGGCTTAAAGAATTTACATACTCAATATTGAATAAGTGAAAGGAATAAAAAGCATGATTAAGGTAAATAGGAAACTTCTCAATTGTGGCTTTCAAAGTATAATGACTTGACATATAACCTTAAACTTGAATTAACCTACAGATGCCATTTCAAATTAGAATCGTTACATAGTGTTTCCATTTTTGCATGGTGTGTGTCTGTGCATGTCTTTATGCAAACTTGTGTTCCATGTAAGTTATTTTGAAAGATAAATTTCAAATAATGAAAGCCATAGAATAACAGAATTGCAGAATATCATTGTGATAAATAATGGACCTTTTGGATTATTCCATCTTATTAGCATCCTTTCATCCTAGTATTTCTGTAATATTCACATTATTTGGCAGAAAAGGTGAATACATTTATCTGTGAAGAAATTATAGAACCACTAGAGCTTTGATAGACTTCAAGTGGCTCTTTGTCTGAGTTTGGCTCTTTAACACTCTGCTGCTTTGTACTGAATGAGAAAGGCCATGGTGTTACTTTTTCACCTGTCATTGTTTTCCAGTATTTCTACATGGTCTATGGTAATAGAGCCCTTCACTGGATGTTGGGAGTGGAAAGGGTGGGGAGTCAAATTTCAGTTTTGCTAGTTATTGACTCTCTGCCTTTGGGCAGAGGGCTGGCTCTCTTAGTCACTAAGAGTCTGAGATTTCTCAGAGCCTCTCCTCCCATTTAATTGGTTTCTACAATTATTATCAATTTATCTCTCATGCTACTTATTTTTAAATCCTTATTGCCTAGACATTATGCACATATACACATGTAATTTTGGCTATGTGAGATTATACAGTGCATGTGCCAACATGTTAAATGCTCCACGAATTAATTAGTTTTGTTTTTTTAGAGGTGTCTGTCATAGGGTGCATGCTGAAAAGAGAGAGACAGGGACAGTGAGAGTGAAAGTGAGAAATCATCCCCTGGCCACATGATAATCTCTTCTCTTCCATTTTCCTCCTGGAATCTTGGGCATGCATGCACACGTGCCCAATGTGGTTTTTCAGACTACTGGGTCAGGGACTAGAACCACGGTCGGCCGTGTGGGAATCTAGCGACATAACCAATATGCCATCTACTGGCCCCCAAATCTATTTTTTTTTTTGAGGTTATTGTCCTTAAGAAAACCGTATCTACAGATATTGCCATGTTAATAAGGAGTATATTTTTTTAAGAAGTAAAAACGGGGGCCAACAGATGGCACAGCAGTGATGTTGCTGGACTCCTATATGGCCGACTGCGTTCCGGTCTCAGACTTGGTGGTTTGAGGATCATGCTGGGCATGTGTCAGGGTCCCTGGAGGAGAATGGAAGAGAAGGGATTGGGGCATGGCCATCTCCCCTGGGGGATGATTTCTCACTGTCTCTGGTGAGTGCACGTGCCCTAAGACAACAACCTCGTTAAGAGAAAAAAAAGGAAATAAAAACCCTGTCTCTGTCTCTGGTGAGTGCACGTGCCCTTAGACAACAACCTCGTTAAGAAAAAAAAAAGGAAATAAAAAGTCACTTTCTGTCAAAGGATACTGAAAGACAGAATAGAAGTAGAACACGCTGCTCAAACAGGGAATAACGTGATCAAGGCCGTGAGGAGGAGAAATGCTTCTCAAAATGTGTGGCAATGTAATTTATCATCCAAACAAGGACTCTGGACACCAAGAGGGACACAATTAACAATTACGCCAGGACGGCGGGAGTAAGGCAGGACTGTTCCAGGAAAACCTGGGAGTAGACGCCTTACTTATAGCCAACGCCCAAATATTTTATTTATTTACTTTTTTGGAGAAGTTTTTGCTATAGGGTGTGTGCGCTTGCCAGAAAGACGGAGAGAGACGGAGAGAAACAGAAAGTGAGAAATCATCCCTCAGGGGAGATGGCCATACCACAATCCCTTCTCCTCCATTCTTCTTTCAGGATTTTGGGCACGTACACACATGTGCCTGATGTGAGTTTAAGACACTGGGTCTGGGACTCCAACCACAGTTGACTACATGGGAGTCCAGTAACTATTACGCCATCTGCTGATCCCCCCAAAATTTCTTTTTGTCTTAAAAAAGGTAGCCTTTTGAGGGGCTAGCAGGTGGTGTGGTGGTTAAGGTGCTGGACTACCACATGGCTAACCACGGTTCAAGTCCTGGGCCTGATGGCTTGCTTTCTCTCTTTCTCCCTTTCTCTGTCTGGTCAAATTTAAAAATAATAATACTGATGATGAATGAAATTAAATAAAGCCTTTTTAAAAATATAACCTTTTTATTGTGCATTGTCAAATCAATCAGAAGATTCATTAACAAAATATATAAAACACGATTAATATATAGTAAAGTTAAACTACACTTTTGCAGGTTGATTGTAACAAACTTTAAGCTCCTTTTGTTAAAAAAAATGACTGTGAGCTTCTCCAACTGGTCTCAAATGTTAAACCTATATCCATTTTTAGTGAGAAAAAGGGTAAAATGGGTAACTCAGAATAATAGATAATTCAAAAGACACATCTGTTTATTTTCTAGTGTACATTATGAACTTATTTTTAGCTATTGTGACATTTACATTCCTAATGTGCACATTTTAACCTAGGTTAGATTTATTATTTTTTAAGAATACGTAGTTACAGTCCAAAACTGCTTCTGACCTTATATTAAAGCTTGCAACAAATGATTGAAAGCTGACTGTTTAAAATAATCGGTAATTCAGTGCCATTTCTCAGTTCTCTAGGTCCTCTAGCCCTCTGTTATTCCGAGTCCTAGTTAAATCGGGTCTGTTTTTCAGTCCATTATCACATACCACTGTTAGACTTCTTTGTTCCAGCATGACTGATAGAAGTGAGTTTTATTGGGTTGTCAGAAAAGTCATGATACATTTTTGCATAGAAAAAAAGGAAATATACGTAATGACTTTCTGATGACCCAATAGTTTAAGGTTGAGAGTTTATTTGAATAAAACATCATGTTGTAATCATAATACATTAATTAAATGATTAAATAAAACTGAGCGATGTCAGGGCCAGCAGGGGGCATGGTGGTTAAGGTGCTGGACTCCCATGTGGTTGATTACAGTTCAAGTCCTAGACCTAGGCTTGCTTTCTCACATTCTCACTCACTCACTCTCTCTCTCTCTGTCTAGTGAGCACATGGGTCCTATATCAAAATAAGAAAATAATAATAAAATTAAATTTAAAATTTTTAAAAATAACAACAACAATAAAAACAGAGCGGAGCCCAGCTGCAGTACCACATGTTGCTAAGACATTGCTGCTCTGCAGGCTGAGGCCACATGGAAGCCCAGGTTTGAAGCCCATCCTTATAGGAGAAAAGCTACATTGCTCAGACTACTAAGTAAAAAACCCTTGCTTCCAGCTCCTCTTCGGTAACCTGTTCGGGCCCCCTTCCACTACACTAGAAGCTTTTTCTCCTTCCCTAATAAATTCCATTTTCCTCTCTTGTGTCCACGTCTCTAATTCTTCATGAGTGTAGGACAAAGCACCCTAACATGGCATGTCTATAGTCCCACCTACTTAAAAGACTGAAATAGGAGGTTATGATAGAGCAAGACTTAATCTTTAAAAACACACAACTGTGTGAAAAGTTGGAACTTTCTGAATTTAAACCTGTTGAACGGCTATGTATATTACATAATTAAGAGCCGATTATTATAGAATGAGAAATTTACCCATGTGAAGAAATTACTTATTGGAAAAGCACAGTGTAGCCTGACTTTGAGATAAACAGATTAGGGAGTGAAGTCAGGTTTGAATAAAGCAGATTAGATGGTGTGAGCCTATGCCGAATTTGAAAACCTGGAGACAGATATTGGTATTTTTTGGGCATTAGCAGCCTTGCTCAGATTGCCCGTAATCCCAGATAGGGTTGCATTCTGAGAGTCCTGACACCTTTCCAGTGTCATCATGTGACTTCTGGTTACCTTATCTATTAGTGAATTTTGAAAATTGCTTTTGTTCATGTCTGTCTTAATTTAAGGTGTGTGTGTGTGTGTGTGTGTGTGTGTGTGTCTGTGTGTGTATGCTAATTCTGGATTTTAGTAATTCCCAAAACTAGGAAAAATGTGCTTCACTTGCCATCTATTCCAAGGGAAAATGTGCTGAGTCCACTCTAGGTTTTGAAACACGCACAGGTACGTGTGTCAAAGATCTAGCCTTTAAATTATCTTTGTACTTTTATCTTTAATATTAATGATTTGTAAAAGTAATTTTTCTTTTACTGTATACTAGATTTTAAGGGAATCTTGTCGTATGGCAAGGACTTAAAGTTCTCAATTTCATAGCCACTCCCTGCAATTGAGATAGGAGTTGGACCCCACATATAGGTAGATAGGGTAAGGGCCCCAAAAGGAAGCCATGTGTTTTTCTTTTTGGTGAAGTCTCTGTGTTTTTCTCTATGGTGTGATTACTGTACAGTATATACACCTTTTACATGTCTCTAAAGAATTTATGGCTCCTTGCTAATAAGGCAGAAACTAGGGATATTGAGCACACAGAGTAGAGACCCAAAAGCAAGTCACAGTGCCTATGTTTTCATAGCCAAAAGCTGGCTTAAGATTTGAAGCAAAAGTTAAGGCAAAAGTAGTTAAGGGCAAAAGTTTCTATTCAGTAATTGTGTTCTAACCATAAGCATGGGACACTATGGTCTGCTGACCCCATAGAGAATAGGGTAATAAATCAGACTACCATGGAACCATTTCCTAAACCCCACATCCTTATCAGAAAGCCAACCCTTTGCTCAGACTACAAGGTAAAAAAACCCTCGCCTCCAGCTCGTCTTCGGCAATCTATTCCAGGACTCCTTCCACAACACTAGCTTTTTCTCCTTCCCTCATAAATTCCACTTTCCTCTCCTCTCTGTGTCCATGTCTCTAATTCTTCGTGAGTGTAGGACAAGAGCTGACATGGGTGTTGGGTCTGATCTCCGAAGCACTCCTGCCTCAGAATCTTACTTTAATAATTGGAAAGGAAGTTTAAGAATAATCTGTGCAAAGACAACTTGCTTTTTTCTTTCAGATAAACTAAAGATTATTCATCACGCACATAAGTCAAAGGTACGTTCCACATGTGCAGCATCTGGATATAGCAAGTAATCAATGTTAATCGAATTGGTAAATAAGCGAATGAACATATGTATGTCTAAAATAGCTTTCGTTACAATAGCATTTTTTATTTTGTAGGTACTCTTTCTACAACTTTACTTTTTCATTAGAGAATAAAAGTAACTCCTGTTTATTTTATTAATTTTTGTGACTTAACACATATTTATTCTGTTACATTTCTGGAGGCAGAAGTCTGAAATTAGTTTGATTGGGCTAATTGCAAGATGTGGGCAGGGTCGATTCCTTGTAGTAACTTTTTTTATAGCAAGGATTATATGGGTACTGTATTTGGTAATATCCATTGTCAGATGTCTCAAAATGTGTGCTCACATGTGTCTGGGGTTGTGGTGTGGAATCTGCTTTTATTCAGTGCTAGAATGTACCACTATAGACTTTATCCATTTTCTTTTCTTCAGGTTAGGCGTGTTTTCAAACTGGTTCCTGACATGCAGAGAATACATCTGTTATACAAATCAGTTACGGCAAAACAGTATGCTGTTTGAAAAATTTGTGGAGCAAAGTGTGTTGTGTCCTTCTCCACTGAATGCATAATTTTCTGCATTGTTGGGCTTGTTCATGTATTCCTGTTTTCTAAAAGGCATAACTAGTAAATTATCCCTTTGTCTTAGTGAAGATCTATCTATTGTGTTCAGATAGTCACCATGATGACCTTTTAAAACAGGAGGAAATTCTCCTGTAGTTAAACAAAAATCTTAGATGTGTTACTTATATTTAAATGCATGCTCCACCCTGGTGTGCTATCATTGTACAATTTGGGCTTATTTTTTCGGTTGAACAATGTAACTGGTTAGGGGGTGAGTCCCAAAATGAATGAAGTCACTGAGAATGTTTTATTAATCTGGCTTTATAAACTTTATCTAAGCCACAACAATTCTAGTAAGTGCAGGCTGTATACCTTGGGGGTGATTTTGCAGGCTTCCATCTCCACTTTCACAAGGAAAGGGGTTAATATATTTTTACAGATACAGTTTTAAAACTTTAGAAAACGTCGCCCATCTGTCTTCTCCCATGCCTTACCCAGTTTTCTCATTGTCCTTCCAGCTCCTGTTCACCACCTGCAGGGCCTACAGCGTCACCTGCACAGTCTGTCAGTTTTCTAGCCCCAGTGCAAATTTACTTTATTTATTATTATTTTTAATGACTTCTTGTTTACATATAATCATTGTGCATCTTTGTGGAATACAGTGTGGCTTCTCAAAGCACACCCACAGTGTGTAATAAATCAAATCACATGTTCATCTCATTTAGCATGGAAGGGTATCCATGTGTTCGTCTTATTTAGCATTGAACATTGCATTACATGTACACATCCATGACAGTTTCTGCTAGGTTTTATTATTATTTTTTGGAAGTCTATATTGAGTTGTCAGTGACATGAATTGTATCCTCCGCCGTGGTGTCCTGTTGCATAACCTATTCTGTTTGTTTACATGCCTTCTTGTATCTGTCCCCGTATCTCCCTTTGCACTCTCTACTTCTGTTCCATTGAGTCCCGCTATAATTTTGATGTCCTTTCTCAGTCAAACAGACTTCCAAAATGGCTCCTGTAACTTAATAAACTCATTCATAAAAGGCATTCCCCTGTTTCCCAGCTTTCTGGATTTAGAGACTTTCCTAAATGTAATTAACAGGCATCCTCAGAAATTTCATTACCACAATAAAGGGGCTATCTGGATACCTGCCTACCGGATCCTCTTGTTTGAACTGTGAGCTAAGTGATTGTTGAATGAATGAATCGATGATACATTGTAAATAATTGCTGTAGCATCACTGTGGTTATTAAGAAAACATGTGTATATGCTTGTGCATGTATGTATTGAGAGCTGTGATCAGTAGTCTGTTTATAAAGTCAGAATTCTGTTTTGATGCTAGAGGGTGCATACATATGCATGAGATGTGGAAAAGAGGGAGAAAGCACCTCCTAGCAGGGTGTAGTCCTGCTGCAGTCCTTTTCCCTCCAATTCTCCAATCCTTTTTTTCCAATTCTCCATCTTGTCAGGATCCTGGGCACATGTGTGCCCGCCTGGTGTGTCGCTGCCCGGGCAAGCAAGCCCCAGACAGCCATTTGGGGTCCAGCTTTCTCTGCTGAGTGCTCACTGTTGTGCTATAAATGAACCGCAATATAAAATATTTTAAATGAAATTCACAAAAATATTTGAAGAAAACTTGGGACAGAATCAAATCACCTTAGGAAAGGTCTAAGTACGATATAAAACCATGAAATACCAACATGTTTTACTTCATTCATTAACTTACTCACCAAAAATTCATTTAGTTCTTTTTTTTTTAAGCTTTTGCTATAGAGCTTGTGCACTCAACAGAGACAGAGAGTGAGAAAGGAAAGTGAGAAATCACTCCCCAGGGGGATGGCCATGCCACCGTCTCTTCTCAGGATTTTGAGCATGCACGCATGCACAGCATGATCCTCAGGCCACCAGGTCTGGTATTCAAACTGTGAGGTCTGCTTTGTAGGATCCAGTGCCTAACCTCCAGGTCGCTTGTTGGCCCAGTCCCTCCTTTTATATATTTATTTAATAATTAGTTATTTCATTTTATTTATTATTATTGTTTTTCAATTTGCTATTGGGCACGTGCACTTACCAGAGAGAGAGAAAGTAAGCTGTCAGATCCAGGACTCAAACCATGGTCAGCCATGTGGGAGTCCAACACCTCAACTGCCATGCTACCTGCTAATTCCACCCCCCCAGCCCCCCGCCCCCTTTTTTTTTCAAGAAGAAGTAATACTGTAAGAAAAATCAAGGAACAAACAAAAAGTGGGGAAAAATTTTCTAACTTATGGAAAAGGTCAGATTCCCTTAGCATACAATAAAGAGGAGCCAGACATTAGTTGGCACAGTGGGAACATAGTGCTTGGTGAGTAGGCCACACGGGAAGGTTCTAGACTCATGTCTGGAGACCTCCCTGAGTATACTGGGCTCTTATGTGCCCAGGATCTGAGGCTGGGGGTAGATTGTAGCATCAAGACTCTGTTGGGGTACCTGTCTCTATCTCCCCTGTCCCTCCCTCTCTCTCTCTCTCTCATACACACACATATACACACAGAATAAATAACTAAATAATAAAAGTTTATAAAAAGATATAATTCCTTTAAATAAATTATCCTACAACTCAATTAAAAAACAAACTATGAGAATAAGAGAGAGAGGGGGAGAAAGAGAGAGAGAGGGAGAGAGAGAGAAAGATGAGCACCTGTGTGGGGTCTGGGTGTGCTGAGATTCCCTTCCTCTGGTCTCTCAGCTTGTCAGATCATGGGCACTCTTGCACATGCCCAGTTTGTTTCGCTCTGACTGAGCCTGGGATTTGAACTGGAGCCACTCTGCGGGATCCAGCTGTGTATCACTGTTGTATTATGGAGCTAGCCTATATCAGACAGTTTTGATAGCACACTGTGGGTAAGGTTGTGGGGAAATAGGCACTCTTAGTGATTGGTAACCTTAGTGTAAATTGCTACTACTTCTCTGGAGAGTTATGTGACAACATCTGTTGAAATATTTGTTGAAATAAAAGTTGCACATAGCTCTCTGACCCAGCGATTCCACTTGTAAGAATTTATCTTACAGACAAAACTTGTAAATATGCAGCATGATGTATGTACAAGGACAGATGGTACAGGATTATTTATGGTAGTAAGAGATTGGAAACAACCTAAATGTCTGTCAGTAGGGGCACAGCGAGAGCGAGCATGTGCGTATATGTGTGTGTGTGTGTATGTGTGCACGATTGTGTGTGTTCCTTTAATGGAATAAGCTGCTACCTTGATGAATTATGAGGCTGTTCTCACTGCTGTAGAATGATTTCAAGCTATATTTTTAGGAGCAAAACAGTAAGGTGTTAGAACACAGCATGTAATATGCTACTATTTGTGTGCAAAAGGTTTGTAGACACATCTTTATCTTGGCCTGCAGGAACGTGTATAGAGACATCCTCTGGAAGGATGTACAGGAACTAGTCCAAGTTCTCTGGAGGATGAGGTGGCTGGTGAATGGGGTTGAGAGGAAACTACTTTTTACTCACTATCCTTGGGTACTTGGAGAAGTTTGTATCATAGTGTGCTCATATTACTTATTCTAAAATAATTTTCTTATAGCTTTTTAAACATTTTTTCCATGGTGGGGGAGAAAGAGAGAGAGCCCCCAACAGGGTCTTGATGCCTCAGTCCACTCTTAGTCTTCCTCCTTCCTCGTCATGGGCATGCGCTTGCCTGTGTACTCAGGGAAGTCTCTGGAGGTGAACCCAGAACCTCTCCTTACAGAGTGTCAAGTTCCACTGCTACACCACCATCTGGTCCCTGAAATGATTTTTCTGATAAACCTTTTGTTCTCTAGTTTGGTTTCAGTGAATTTTATTTTTTATTAACATACAGTAATTGTACGTATTTGTATGTGTTTGTGGGGGGTGCAGTGTGATTTTTCAGTACAAGAATACAATGTGTAATGACTAAATCGTATTTAGTCTTATCTGTCATTTTCAGTCACTTGTCATTACTATGTATTGGGAATTTTTTCTTTAATCCACGTGCTGTGGGGTTCAAGTCTTCTGTGCTCACTGGTGAATCACGTCCGTGATCACAGAGCATGCCTCCGGCTTCTGGGCTTCTGCATTGGCTGCCGAGAAGCCTTTCCGTTGACTCTATGCCTCCGTCATAATGTAGATATAGAATACATTGCCAAACAGCTGCATCCCGATTGACAAGGGATCCTGTGCCTCCAGCTGGTGGTTTCCTACGTGTGCCCTTCGGTGGCAGAGAGCAGCTCCACATGTCGTCTCATGTTTATGATTTGTAAATGCTGGAGAATAAATGCATCCACCGCGGCCCCTGTCACGTAGAGAAGTGTTAGAGTTACTATGATGTGGGACCAAGGCTTGTCAGCTTGGGCGAGGTTTTGGGCATGTGGACCTTCAGCCATTTGAAGTAAGTCTGCTTCTCTAGAAGTCAGACTGGCTAGACCTTGAACCTCATCTCCATCGCTGACTAGTCAGGTAACCTGACCCTGAGCCTTCATCTTTCCGACTCTGAATTTGATGAAGATAACATGAGAAAGCGATGATGACAGCAACAACAGGGTAGTGACAGCTAAAATAGAGCGTGTTGTACCGTGTGACTGATACCATGCTGAGGGTATGTACTGGGGGCTTCCAAAAAGTTGGTGGAAAATATGTATTCCCAAAAAACTCTGTGTGGATTTAAAATTCTTTTGCATCAAAATAAACTTGTCACTTAATTCCATTTTTTCACAAACTCTTCGAAGTCCCCTCATGTGGCTTCATCTTATCTTCACCACAGGTAGTAAGATACAACCCCTTTCCCTTTTCAACAGATGAGTGAACTGCATCTGAAGTTAGGTACTTTGTTGAGAACACACAGCTGGGTACCAGTGGAGCCTGACTTTGAGCCCATATCTATTGCCAAAGCCTGTGTTATGGCAGTGTCTCTCCACTGCTTTTCGTAGTGTGTGCACTTAGTAGGTCCACACTGTGTATCTGCCCGCTTCTCTTTGTGATAGTAGGAGCAGAGTGTGACTTAGATTATTGCTATGACTCAAAATAACAGCTTCATGTCTTTGAGAAATCTTACCAGATATGAAGCCCATGTAAGTATTGATAAAATGCATGTTTTCTTTTTAGACAAATGAACTTGTGTTGAGTTTGGAAGATGATGAGAAGCTCCTGCTAAAAGAAGACAGCACTCTGAGAGCAGCTGGCATTGGTGAGAAAGGGGGCCTTGCCTTGCTGGAGGGTCACACACTTTCCTGGCTGTATGGTGAGGCCTGGCTGACTGCACTGGATAGCTCCCTGCAAAGTAAATGCTACCCTCGGTGCTCTTTACGCTACCTGATAACTATTCAGGGGAGAAGGATGAGAATGATGTGCATTCTGATCATTTGACTGAGGCCAGGAGGTACCTGCACTCTTAAGTGCGCAGAATGAAAATTGTTCTTTTCAGGAGGTATGCTCAGAATTCTGTGGGGGGTCATTTTAAGTGATTGACAGGTTATTAGCACCATGTCTGCTTACTCTCATCAGTCATTTGAGCGGATGGTTCGAGAGAAATGGACATAGTAGAAGTAATTTGGAATAGTTTAATGAGTTGTTGTTTGCCTAATGTGCAGCATGGTTTCTGATAGTCATCCAAATCACTCGGAGCTGACCAAGGCATGGAATTTAAAATAGGAGCCAAGTGTATGCGGATGAAAAATTACCTGACTTAGCCTTTCAACTTGGGACATCCATCTAGTTCTGTTTTAAAGAAATACTATGTGACATGTTTTGTGACCATTAGATGTCACTGTAATTCTACTTATATGTATGCCTAAAGGTGATCTGGTAATAGAGTGAGGTCTGAGCAGTCAAAGGCTTTGTGCTTCTGACACAGCTCTGCAGTTACTGACTTGGATGGAGTGTCACCAGTCACATTCCCTTCGTATTATTTATAAATACTGGTGAAGGAGCACTCTGTGAGATCCACTTTGGGAAGCCTTACATTTTGGGGGCAGGTATTCCACTGAGTTAATCACGTATGTCAGGAATTCAGTTTTGGATGACTCACTGACTAACATGAATTACTGATATAGCTCTTCCAATTTAACTAGAATTTTATATAACATGTCGTGAAATCTTGGACTTGTTTTCTATTTAAGTCTATACTATTTGCTCGAATTAGCATCTTTCCATATTATGAATACATAGGATTGACTGTTTTTTGAAAAATGATTTTTAATTTGACATTTGTTTCTTCATAGGCTATTACATTATTGTAGTAGGTGGCTACCTGTGTTATTGAGGTACTTGGTACCTAGAAGGTAGCCCGGCTTGTTGTTAAAACATGAAACTGTAATGAGTATAATGGTCTGGTGTCGATGTGGGAATTGACAACTCTGTGGAAAAGACTGAGAAATCTAAAATTAAACTAAAGGGAAAAATAAAAGAAGGCAGTAGTTTACATGATAATAAAAGTCAACATCTCAAGTAAGCAGAGAAAGAATGAATTAAGACTATCTCTGTGGTGTAGCAGAACTCTCAAGAGAAGCTGGATCCCACACGGTGACTATAGTTCCAGTCCCTACACTGGTAGGCCTGAGACAAGCCTGGTATGCATACAGGTGCCCAGGATCCAGTAGGCTGGAGGACTGGAGGAAGAGGATCATGGCATGACCTATGGAGGTTGCTCATCTCTCTCTCTCTCGTGTGTGCATATGCTCTATCATGAATAAAGAAAAAAAACTAAAAAAAAAAAAAAAAAAAAGTATGAATTGGCCAGAAAATATCAGGCCCATTGCCCAAG